CCGGAAATGCGCCGCAGGAAGCGTTCCGGCACTTGGCCGTGAGTAACGACTTTGCACCATTTTGAAAAGTGGAAAAAAATAAATATTATACGATCATGAAACGAAAGTTCGTCGGACTTTCCAGACCATTAGCGCACGTTTATTGTCTCGCACGCGTTAATTTTAAACTTCAAGGAAGACTTTCTTCGAATCAGAAGGGATAATATCCTTTTCGATATGAATACATTTATTTAGTAGTCTTGATATCGCTCCAAATGTTGCGTATATTTAAAAAGTAACAAATGTACGAATTATGACGAATGAAACTTTTCGTCGAAGGAGCGCGATCAAAAATTGTTTAAAAAGAATTGAGAAATATTTTATGTATGGTTGATAACAGCGATGAAATCGTTGCGAGCCGTTCCACGTTAAATCGAAAAACGAATGGTCCAACATTTCGGATTTGGTACAAACTACACTATGTCGTTTATTAAAACGTATTTTGAAGGATCTTTTAGCATCGCAAACATCGTGTAGCTATTTCGAAAATAGTCCTTCATTTTCTTGCTTTACCATCTTTTTCTTACAACTGTTCCGAGCGCCGTATTTGAAACGGAGATAAAAATCTAAAAAAAAATTGAAAATATGCTTAGCAATTTAAAATATGCAAAAGTATGCTTTGAAATTGACGAAATAAAAATTATTTAAAGATAGCGCAGTCCCGCCCGTGCAATATAAGGAATTATTGCAATATAAGCATATCGTAACAACTAAATATAATTTTGAAATGTCAAGAAATGGAAATCTTGTCTCATTCGTCGTCTTCAATTAGCAGTGTTCAAAAATGAGGTCAGTCTGAAATTGTCCAAATGAAAATGATTTAAAGACAGTGCGGTATTGTCCATGCAATACTAAGAACCAGATGACTAATACCTACCATTGTTATGCAGGGTATGCGACTTCTGCAAGGTCTTACACAAGAATTAACGGTGACCATTTGCAATAAATATTCGAAACTCAATGTTTGTCAATGGAACGTAGTACTGGAAGCATTCTAGTTAACACTGTTCAACGGGAACGATGAAAAGGTGTCAAGTATTCATTTCTTCAGATAGGATAAGACATAAGAAGATTAATAATAGTTTACCGCAATCGTTTGTATTTAATTCAACAAATAACCCAATACTATATTCAACTTGTTCAGAATTTTTACAGTTTCCGACTTTTAGCTCCAAGAATAGGTTTCAGTCCACAATTGGACATTATTTGTAGAAACTTCAATTGCATAGACTCGGCTGTATATTACTCGAACGGGATCATGTTTTTTCAGAAAGTATTCATTTGTTAAATTTCAAAGTGACAGCATTTATGAAAATTAATAATTAAAAGAACACGTAGAAATTTTGTTTGCCTTTTAAATTTGTTGCTCAAGCAACAATGTGATATTTATTTAGAACTAGGCTGAGTACCATAACCATTTCAAGGCAAAATGAGTATGTAAACTACAGACTAGCGTCTCCGTGGCACAGTTGTTTCCTGTGGCGTTACTAGTTTGCGTGTTTGCTATCCGCTGAAACATTTTTTTTTTTTTTTTTTTTTGTACATTAATATCTTTGGCACAAGCTCCCAAAAATTCATTCTCGTTCGATTCTCAGTACAGCAGTTATGATATTTGTTTGAACCTGTGTCACTATTTTTCAGTACTATAAAAGTCCGAAATATTGCTTGACTTAACATCCGATTTAGAAATCATAAAATATTCCACCATTCTCTTTATTCAGGCCATTGTTTATCGAAATTATAATTTTGTTCGCGGTACCTTTATTCTCATGACCAGATGAAAATGTATTGCAAAAGTTCTCTCTTCGTATTTAAGTCGACATGGTTTGGTATTAGAAACAATACTTTGTTGCTAAATTATTGTGTACATTTAATGAATTGTTTTACATTCGATAGCTAACTTGTCGTCAAGTCCGGTATGGTCTAGTGGCTAGGATACCTGGCTCTCACCCAGGAGGCTCGGGTTCGATTCCCGGTACCGGAATTTCTTTTTTTTTTTCTTTAATAGCTTCAGTTTTTGTATGCAAAGATTATACCTGGTTAAGGAGGCCAAAACTATCGAAACTATCATTAAATCAAATTTGATTTCGACGAGTTATTTGTTGGTTAGCGGAAAAAAAACAATTTGTCCCAAGTCGAGATACAGACATGAAACTCTGCACGAATTGTTTTTTTTTTTTTTCGTTAATTTACCAAATGACTTGTAATTTGAATTTGGTTTGTTTAGGGACACTGTTGATCTCTTTACTCGACTATACAATTTCTAAAAGAATTTAACAATTAAAACGAAACCAAATTATGTACTCAGTTTATTAGAGTTACTACAATGACCTTCTTTCGTGTAAATTTCGCTAAGTAATAGCGGAATACGCTCTCAATGAAATGAAAAGTAAATCGGACGAACGAAGCTATAGCGAAACCAGTATACGGTCGTTCAATTTCGTAATTAAACTGGAACCCCGTAATCCGATTCCAATTCGTGCGAAACTTGAGCAAAGTCGTTTGCTTGCTCAACATTCCTACTACTCGGGGTCGCATCGTGCCAGTATAAACTGATAATCTGTTGCTGGTGTGCCGAGTAGGCCAACGATTTAACAACTGTCAGGCGTTATAGTTGAAATTTACTCGTCGATATAATGACAGTCGTGCATCGATTATTTACATAGTTATTGAAGAATAACAATCGATAACGCGTGTGGTACGTGTTGTCTCAAGCATTTTTCTTATTTCAGAAATAAATATTGGGTTGTCCAGAAAGTCCATGCCGATTTTTTGTTGGTGGTGTAGGTTTAAATAGTGGTGTAGGTTTAAATGGTTGAAAACGAATAACATATATCCATTCCTTAAAAGGTGGAAAGGTTGTGAAACAAAATGGTACCTATGTAATTCGATAAATATACAAAAAAATTCAAATATGCCTTTGCATTTTTCTTAAAACTTGCCGCGAACTTTCTGGACGACCCAATAATATAAACACACTTTAATAATAATAATTCACCATTGAACAAGTAAATTCCTAACTTTCCGTGCATCTTAAAAACTTTGGCTACTGTAACAACATAGCTCCAGTCATCCAGTTAATTTTATAAATAGTTACAACGATAACGTTAATATTTATTATAATACAATTTTGTTTATATGAATATAATACTTTTTCTAATACTTGACAACAAGATACACGCAAACCTGTTTACAATGTGTAACAGCAATGTATGTTTTCATCAGTTTCGATTCATTGCCGCGTCCAAAAGCGAAGTTGCGTAAAAGAAGTTAAATAAAATGAGTAGAAAATAGACGTTGTCTCACGCGCAACAGAATTGATTGGTCGTCTCTAACAGAGCATGCGTGCAGTGCATTGGGCGTCGCGACGCCAGCGTCGACCCGTCCATGGTATCCTCGAGTTTTCTTTTGCAATACCTCAGTGCAGACGCGTGTCTTCCTCCTGGTCGATTAGTGGACTCGTAGTCTCGTTCTTCGAACCCCGTACACGTTCTCGACGCTCCGATAAATCCCTTTCGGCGGTTGGTGCACATGGACGAGGCTGAATTAAGGTAGGGCACGTGTTTGTTACGAGCCCTGAGCCCCTAACCTAAATTTTCGATCGTAACATGTGCTACGATAAACCAAATCACAAAGTGTATTCGAACAGTAGTGAACCATTTACATAACGCGTTTGTGAAACATGTAGAAATGTACGAAATGTTAAAAAATTGACGACATTGCGACACGAATTCTGTCCACGGTAGGCAGGTACCCTTCCCCGTTGTCGAACGTTATCAATTATAAATATCTCTCGAATACCCCGAGGGATAGTCGATTACTGCAAGGCTGTCACTAATTGTCGCCTGCGCTAACCACAAATTACATTCGCACCGACGATGGAAAATATTTGCAACAAATGTCTTCGTCGGGTGATATATCAAGACACTTAAGACTAACGCACCGCAATGATCGTTTATACAGCGTACGTTTTTGCGAAACAAAACACGTTTGTCCTAGTTTGCGGCTCATAATATTTGGAAAGACCCCGTTATCGGATGCGTGTGACTTTTAGGTCGGTGGTAAACATCGCTGTGTGCGTGGGCGTCGCACATCAATGTTTACACGCACGTGTGCAAAGAGGCCGGTACCTGTTCGAATCACGAACGCTTCAGCGGGAGCGTTTTTTGTTGCTCCTTTCTTTGAGAGCGAGAACGCGTTCACCTTTCGCTGTACATTCCATTTGACTCGGCTTTTGCTCGCAGCCTCCGATGGGCCAGGGGGCTCCCGTAGGCTTCGCACATGGCGCCCCCGTTACTACGTCCGTTGGAATTTCAGAAATTCCACGTCGATGCAATCGATTACCGAACCGGACATACGGATCGTTTTCTCCTTTCCAGATTCGATCGAGAGCCTCGAGGGGTCAGGGAAGAAAATCGTCGGTGGTTTTGCAAGCTTTCCAGCCAACGATAATCTGGGCCACCGATTAGCTACACGCGACTTTTCGCAAATAACGCCACCCTCCTTTCCAACAATTCGTTGTATCATTTCGTTAAATCTCTCCCTGTCTTTCTCCGTGTTTCCCAATCAATCGAGAGAAAGTCTGCCGGTAGTCGAACCGAGCGAAACCAGAAGGAAAAGTTACCTAATGGATTTGGAAACATTGTCAAAGTATCCGTAAGATTTCCATTCGTAAGCTTGTGGGAACGTTTTCAATTTTCGTTCTGTCTTCCACAACCAACGCGCGTACGTTTGTATCGAACGACACACTCGTGCAGGCACATACGTATAATTTTAGCTGACACACCGGTAGATTTATCGCACGATAAGATGCGACATCGTCAACTATTATTACATAATAATAAGATAGAGTTAGTATCGACAAGAACCGTGGAGTTTACGATATACCGACGGTTCTGTTGAAAGAATCCCATAATTGTTGGCTACCTCCGGTCTGATCGTCATTCTGCGTGCAGCCACCTCGCGATTCGGTCCTTTCTACAGGCTACTCCATGTAAAATATGTGCGACTAAAACGCTTCGCTGATCGCGACGAATAGAGAATATTTCCGTCGCGAGTAAGCATTGAACGAGAAACGAGGTGAAAGTTTGGTGTGCGAAACAGTGAATTTCTTTGAAAACTTCCGAATGATCCAGACCGGACAAAGGTTCGTTGCGTGTCTACAATCATCCGCCGAGACCGCGCGTTCGTTCACAGCATAAACAACACGACTAACACGTGAATTATGTTCGCTTGCATCGTGCATTCTTTCAAGTGTGACTAGTCGACGGGGAGTTCAAGGTTAACGTATCGATGCTTCGAAATGTTCCCTCGTTATGGAACGCGATCTGTTTCTGCGTGACAATCGATGAAGACGTCAGAAATCATCGACGCGATCGCCACCGACAACCCAAAGGTTAATTCGATGAATGTTGTTCCTTTAACTGGAAATATAACGCGATTGTGGTACTCTTTGTTAGAAATAGCAAGACTGGATCTAATTCAACACTTAACGCGTAGGCATTGGAAGTTATGCCAAGTAAATTCTAATTTAGTACCATTGGAACTGTCAAGAAAAAGATAGTTTGTCCTTGAAGCTGTATCTTACTATTTCTTGATAACTAGATTGGTCAAAGGCCAACGTTCATTTCACGTGGATCAACCGTTGTGTATCAATGATGAATTTTACAAAAAGTATACGTGCTCGTGTTTCGAGAATCTTCGTGTCCCCACTGGACGGTATTTGATCGCACGATAGAGTTTTTATGTAACTCGAGATTACAGAGTCAGCTGCACAGACAACGGTTAGGAGAGTATCATGAAAAAAACGCTACTACTGTTGACTCGTGAACGTAGCGTGACACAGTGATAGCGCCGCTGCGCTGAATGCTAGTTCGTTCATCGTTGTTTACAACGTACTCGATCGGTGGTAAAGTCGAGCGACGGAACTCGGTCGGTAATCGATTCGAGCGATCGAAAAATTGAAACGAATCCTTAACGGGAATCGTTATACACGATTGCGCAACTACTGCCAAAGTTGGAAGCAATTAACATAGTTGTACCTTGGACAACTCGACGGAATGTTGCAAAAGCAAATGTCTTTCGTAACAGCCGTCTGAAGTTCGAAGAAAACTTTTTTCAACGTTTCCCGAAGAGCTCGCGGTTAATTGGTCGCGTTTTATCGGTGAAAAAATGACGGACCAAATGTCGCCTTTGCTGGAGATTCGAAGCAATGGACACCTAGATGTCAATTTCGATGTCGTTGATTCGCTGGGAAAGAGATCGATCGACGCGTCGATGGAAAATGTTCCACGGAATAGAGTGCTCAGGTAGCAAACTTTTTTTCCCTCGAAATGAGAATCGGTTTTAAATTCTGAAAGAGGGGTAACGATACGAGCGTAGAATGAGAACGTGATCATTGTTCGTGATTAAGATATACAATAGCGCGTACGTCTCGAAGTTGCGCGTTATCGGTGCACGATTAATCCAGAAGTTACGTACGATTGCGATAATCGTCCGCAAATATTCTGTAACCGTGCGGAATTGCCATTCAGCCGATTATAATTGTTATTAGTTTCGTGAAACTATCACCCGCTATCGTACGTCAAAGAAAACGAGAAGGGTCTGTGCGTACGACCACATCATGTTCACGTGTATGACACACGTCATAGAATGGCTTAAGTCATCAAATCTGTGTGCATGTGTATTCAACTAATTTCACATAAAGTTTCTTTCGATGCGAATGACGGGTTCGTCTTGTGGGTCTTGTAAAAAATGTCTTACGCTTCTTTTGTAAAATATTACGTACGTTAATGGTAGTCGGTTATTTTCTTGAACACGTTGCTTCGTTTGATCGATGTATTTCGCTTGTAAATCATGGTAGTAGGTAATGAATCACAATTGACTAGCGCTCGCGTTAAAAAAATTATGACCAATCTGTGACAGCCCGACGTCGTTTCACCACGGATCCTTCAGTCACTTTGCGAGATGCCGACGTAATTGCTCGTACAGTGTATTACAAATTGATTCGCATGCGCTATTATGTCTCGGTGTACTCGCATGAATAAGTACTACGTGCAGTTTGTTCTGTTTTTTTTTTTTTTTTTTAATATATGTGTCACTACAGTGACCACGATACATTGAATCTTCTTCTATTTCCGCTTGTCTGTTACGTTCTAAAACAGAGAATGGTACGATAACAAAGTTCAGGGGCAAGTGTACTTTATCTCACGGAGCAACGTCGTGAGATACTCAATTAACTCAATCATTTCACTAATAATTGTACATTTTTGTTCCCAGGAGAACGAGAAGTCTGAATGCGCCGAGTCCTATTCAACAGTTCGGCCCATGCGGGCGTATTATGAAAAACTCCGCAATGGTCATGTAAGTAGATCTACATTTCTGCAGTTTCATTGATCGTCGTGTTTGTTACCATTGTGGTGACCAAGGGTAGGACTACGTGTCGAATAAATGTATATTCGAGTAGTTGTTTTAAAAATGATTCGATTCGTGAGTTTTGCAATACATTATGTAACCTTATAATCTCACGAAGTTCAACGAGGTTCACCCTAAAATTAGTAAACAAAGTGTGACGCATCAAAGTATTATTTATTCCTCACGGCATGTTACATTTACATAACAATGATTGTTATATGTGCATACTAATTACTAATGCCATAAGTAAACATAAGTTACATCATTTATTCATAGATTAGAGAACCTTGGATACGTGTACAAACAGGTGTAATAATAAATTTCATTGAACAATAAACTTATATCAGCACTCTCGTGGAATGCAACAATTATTAACGGTAAACTACCAAAACTTGTTAGATCAAGAAAAAGTGTTAGATAATTGTGCGTTATACTTACTATACTTAAAGTGCGTTTTTATTTTGATTACACAGAACGAAAATAATTGATATAAATAAACAATGGTTGCTTTCGCCAACCTAAAATCGTTGTGTATCGAATTAATTAACTGAAAATGAATCTTTGGCATAAGCATTCGATTGTCTACCATTACGAAGCGTATGAACAGTAAGTAGAATGCTTTTCTTTCGTTACTTAAACGAAAACATTGGTAGAAGTAATTTTGTAAATTATTCCTATAAAACGGATAGCGTTCGTATGATCGTGTTGTGCGCCTGCGCGTCGTCCGATTGTTTACCGTTAAAAAACGTAGTGCGATGTTCGGTCCACGTTCAGTACGAGCGCGACTCTCAATCCGGTATCACGTCATGGTTGGAACTGTCAGGTAGGTTCTTCATGGAACCATAGAAATTGTATTAGGTTTACAGTTCATAAGAAATCCATACTTATTAACAGTCATATAACGTCACTTTTCAAATATTAAAATTTAATATAACAATAACCATAATTAGAAAAACAACAATAGCAAGAATAATAATAGTATACTGATAACTAAAACAACAAAAATAATTGAAATACTACGTTTGTATCATCATAGGCAGACATTAATATTGACTATTCTCAATTCTGGAACACTTGTACATTATATAATATTCTGTGTTTATAGATACACTGGATTAAATTTGACGACAAATATTTTTTCTACGACATTCGTTGGTTGGTGTTTTTTTTTTTTTCTAATACAGTATAGAAGTTACTTAAAAAAGTAGAAATGTTGAAGTTGAAGTTATTCATGAAAGCAAGAATGTCTTGTCATAACAGGATACTTCAAAGAAAATACAAAGTTAAAGTTATATTCCTGAATGCTAATATTTACAATGGTTTTTATTTGCCTATTTCTAGTGTAAGAATTCCTCTAAATGCGAATAAACATAATTCGGATCATGAATTAAAATTTGACGTAAAGAATAAATATAATTTTTCAACAGTGTAAATATATTTTAGTTTTTTATAATTATAATTACTGTCGATAATAAAAAGAAGAAAAAAATAGATAATAACAAAAAAAAAATCGTCCCTGAAGAGGTTAATTATACACAATAAGGTGTTCGAAGATGTATTTAGATTGACGTATTTCATTAACCCATGCGTCATAAAAAAATCAATCACTGTCGTAAAAATCAAGATTCAGCGATAGATTAGTAGGAAATCGAAGTACGAATGACATACAAGTTTTTTTTATAGATATTTTCGTTTTTGACCGTTAAAAAGTGACCTGTCATACTCTATCGAACCTGACTTCTCGTCGGAAAGGAAGCGGAAATCAGTGTTACGCTTGAAGCAGTATAACTGTGATTATAACCAGTAATAACCATCGCTTAATAAGATACAACACCGTTTGCACAAGGAAAATTCTGCACTAATTAATGCTCAAACTTTTCCCGAGCTTTCAAGTTCGTAATACGACGCGTTTATTAATGAATATTTACAAAGTGTTTATTCAAATGTAAACATATTTCGATGTAACGTACGCACTTTCGCCGGTACGAAAATAGTTCTAAAAAACAAAATTCGGGTTCCAGAAGCGATTAGTGTAAATTCTGAAGATTATAAGCCAATGAAAAGAATGCAAATGCCGCTTAAAGATCACCCCTGTGTTCATACCTAAACTATGCATCATTAATCTTTTCGCACCTTTGATCTCGGCGACCCTAATACAATGATAAGCATTATGATCAACGCTCTCTGCATGCAAATGAGCGGGTACCTATCCACGGAAGCCCGCTCTGTGCTTTTATTAATATTAAATAGCTCGATCAACAATCATTTTACTTTGGAATATATATACCTCCAGGAATCTATCACAAAATTATATAAGCAACAAGAAACGTTTTCGTAGTCTTTAACAGACGGCATATCCAGGCATGTCTAGGCACTACGTGTTGTATGTACTAGATTGTTACGCGTAGAGTTCGATTAGAGATGGCCAGAATCCTATTAGAAAAATAAACGAACGACGAATAAGAAGAACTCTTTATTTATTCAATTAAATGGTGCTTTGAGTAAGCTCTAACTAGTCCAATGTAAAACCCGATACGGTTATAAAATCCAGTATATTGTTAAGCGAATAATGGATCAAAATTAGGTTACCTTTTAATCTTTATTCGAAATTCGAATTGTTATCTAACGTACATCATCACACATACATATACTTAATAGTCTCATAATCAGTTAATCAGTGTACGTAGATTTGATAACTAATGCTTATCTGCGTACCGGAGCCCTTCTAAAATTAATCCTCAATTTAACGTATCGCAATATTTATTTGCTATATAAATTTGAACTCGACTTTTATCGTTTCGATAAAAAAAAAATTCATCTGTTAACAATTTGCGTAATTACGCACTTGTTTATCGTAAAGCTGAATACAATATCATTAAATAGTTTCAAAACTTCATGTTTGTCTTATTACAGGACCATACAAGACCCTGCCTCTCAGAGGCTGACGTGGTACAAGCCGCCTCTCACTGTCCTGGTCATCAAGAAAGTCCGTGACTCTTCGGTGTTGCCTCCGTTCGTCCAGTTAGTCACCTGGCTAATAGAAGTAAGTATTATTGCCATCTGATATTTGTCCTTCGCATTAACACTTGTCTTCCATGAATTCTTTGCAACTTTGAAAAACCATTTCACGCTTGAATATTTATTTACGAACTGCCTTCTTCAGCTGCGGAGTGTTATATTTCGAGTTTAATTATTAACAACTCTTGTTACATCCGTTTCTGTTGTTAGAACCGCATATTAATGGTAGGTAAAGCAACGTAAATTTTATTTTTCATTGTTATATATCTTGAATTTTAAATCGGACTGCCTTATAGATACGTTCCAAGTTTCATTATAATTGCTACAGAAGCTTCTCCATGCTGCGGTTACAAACAGACAGATACAACTCCGTTTTATTTATATAGATTATGCATAAATCGAGGCCGCCAGAAAGTAACAAAGAAGGAAACTGCTTCCAAGAAATCACCTTGCGTCCTTTAAGTGTCATTATATTTTTACTCTTATTATCCTCCGCTTGGTATCCTTGAGACTTACAAGTGCGATGCGATTCTTCGGTATATCGGTTCGGCGTGACTATAAAGCCGTATCGAGTTGTGTAAACGATAATCTTGCATCGTATCCCTTTGTAAACATTAGATAACAATGTTGTACGTGTAACGTGTAATCGTTTCACGTTTCTCTAGTTGTACACAGCAGAATCAAAGTATACGTCATTTACGATGGTTACACTTAATATGTGTTCGATTGATAATAATACGCACGCGTGATGCTACTTACCTGCGCAGCAATGCGTAGACAAAATATGAAATTTAACGTTCTACTCGTTCGCAGGAGAAACGGATGGTAGTTTTCGTCGAAGCATCCGTCTTGGAGGATTCAGCCTTAGCTAGGGACCCCAGATTCGAGGGCGTTCGAGATAGGTTGCAGACCTTCAGGGATGGTACGGACGATCTGCAGGTAATCACTCTTTTTTCCAAGTTCTCAAACTTTGTACATATCGTACCGTTGTATTGGCTACCGTCAATATTGTTACAATATATGTATTTACCGTTTCACGTCTGAAAGTTGACATTCATTTCTATGCAAGGATCGCATCGACTTCATCATATGTTTGGGAGGTGATGGAACCCTCCTATATGCAAGTTTGCTATTTCAACAATCAGTACCACCTGTAATGGCGTTTCATCTTGGTTCATTAGGGTTCCTGACACCCTTCGAATTCGACAATTTCCAGGAACAAGTAACAAACGTATTAGAAGGTGAGTGACTACGCTCTAATTCGATTTTCCTTGTGACTGAAATGATTGGGTGCCGCGAGTGTCTGTATCCATGACAATCGAACGACGATACGATACTTGATTTTAACAGGTTTTGCGAGAAATCGGACAGCGCTGGCATTAAACAAAAAATCTGGAATTTTATGACTGTCGTAAATAAGTATAAAAATATTCTTTCTACGCAAATGTCGTGTCATTATGTTGTAATAACTAACGAGTTGTTATTATTATTATTGACATTTTCGCTCAATTTCTTGGTCCGTTTTTAAGCGTTGCTCATGAAGCCATCAAAACACTTCTATACCTTGTCTGTTTACTTGAAACTATCAGTAGGCTTCGATTTGTCCAAGCGTTAGCGTTTCCAGACTTTGGTTTACATTCGAGCCTTTATCGGGGATTTTATTACTTCTCGCTTATCTGGTGCATTTTGCAACTCGCGAAGATCGTCTTTATATCTTCGAACAATTATAGAATCGTTGTGTGATTTTAACCACCAAGCACCTGATTCACTCGCAATAGACGCTCGATCCTCGAGCTCCGACGATAAGGAATCACCGAAACACTATAATCACTGTGTAACCTACTGTAGAACCATCACATACCTTTACGCGCAGATTCATCGAACTGTGTAGAGAAACGAAATAACATAAAACGAACGGTCACTTGTATGCTCGGCATATCGCGAAATGGCCGAATACGTCCCGTTGAACGCGAAGTTATAAACTTGACGAACGTTGGCCTTCTGTTTAGGTCACGCGGCCTTGACCCTGAGGAGTCGGTTGAGATGTATCATCATGCGGAAAGGAGAGGAGGGTAAACCGGCCAAACCGCCGACAAATCTTCTGGTGCTGAACGAGGTCGTGGTTGATCGTGGCCCGTCTCCGTACCTCTCGAATATCGACCTCTTCATCGACGGCAAACACGTGACCAGCGTGCAAGGTGATGGCCTGATCGTAAGCACACCGACCGGGTCGACCGCGTATGCCGTTGCAGCCGGAGCCAGCATGATTCATCCTTCGGTACCTGCCATCATGATCACACCGATCTGCCCTCACTCCTTGTCCTTCAGACCGATCGTTGTGCCGGCCGGCGTCGAGCTGAAGGTATTTCCGAATTTTTTTACGCTACAACGACGTCATTACTTTTTATAGGCGTCGACAGGTCCGTCGGGGTAACGTTGACAGAGAAACGTTCTTTTCTGTACCCGAATAGAAAAAAGTTCTGGACCTTTGTCATGTGGTTACAAAAAGATGATCTTATAAAAAAATTATGCGTATAATGTATTAGAATCGACTAGTTGTTAATTACCGGAGTAATTAGCATGCGTCGAATAACGTGAAATTAGTATGACGCAGTATTTCCGTCTGGGTCAATCGAGGCTCTTATTGTGGTGACGTCAAGATTTCTAGTTCGTTGTGTTGCTCCGTAGAAGGAAACTTGGTCTCAGTGGACATCGTCAGCATTCCCAGACAATGTGCTGCCCCTTGCCATTTTCAACAAACTCGATACGTTTGTAAGAGCGTTATGGGCATTCCATGTAACGATAAGACGAATACGGAAGAAGCTTCGCGTTTGTGACGATAGTACTCTTTAATAGGTCGTCGCGAAGCTATTTCTGCCATTTCCAAAAACCGCTAACGTTTAGATAACTAGCTTGTTCGCTTTTACTGTATGGCACACTAATCTCCGATATGTGGAAAAGCAAACGTCACGAAGCGATAACCTAAACTTCGGACGTATATGACGACCTAACAGAGAGTACTATAGATTGATCTTGACGTAAGCGATGTACACCGACCTTACAAATTCTTGGTGGTGCTAACGATTTAATTATAACTTGTTACTTTCTATCATAGATTTCTGTTTCACCCGATAGCAGAAGCACCTCCTGGGTGTCCTTCGACGGTAGAAATAGACAGGAGCTCTTCCACGGCGACAGGTAAAAGTTAATCGTTCGTTAGATCTGTCTAATCGTTTGCGTTTTTCGCTATTATTTCAGATAATGGCAAACAGCAAGGCCCGCAGCACAGCTTACGTCTCCTTTGATGGTCGCAATCAGCAAGAGCTACGCGTCGGGGACAGGTCTGTCCTGTTATTTCGTAAAAGACTTTCGTCTCCTCTTTCTACATTCATCGCAGCTGCACGATGGTGCAACATTACGATACGTTCATTTATTTAAATTCCGTTTCTTTTCCCCCAAGTTCATTTTATTTCTCCTTTCTTGGCTCGGTTTGTCAGCAAACATCTGTACATGTGTTACTACCGACTTTGGTATTTCTTTATCATTCCGATCGATGGTTCACAAAATGTCCGCCTCTCTAATGACGATTGGTTTAATGTAATCTCATTTCTATCCGTTCACAACATATTTTTCTAGAAACGAGACGTTGGCTGTCCTGCAAGGTGATGGTGCTTTTCGTGTTTTCATCTATTTGTCGCTATACTCGTGTAGGTTTGGTTTCGTCGAATCATCAAAGTGGAATTTTTGTCCCTTTGCAGCTTGAGGGTGACTACTTCCATATATCCAGTGCCTAGCATTTGCGCCGCCGATCAAATTACCGATTGGTTCGACTCTCTGGCCGAGTGTCTACACTGGAACGTCCGCAAAAAGCAGAAACATTTGGACGAACTAAGCGATCTGACCCACTCTTCTAGCAACGATACGTTGGACTCTCTCGATCGTGACAGCTAGGCCAGGCATACAAGTCACAACGGATTGTGGCAAAATCAGCGATGTCAGCCTAAATTCTAAAGAATCAGTGCATTTTGTTGTCGTCTTCGAGGTCTGATCTAAAAGTCACCGACTCGTTGGAGAAACCTCACGGAAAACACGTTTTACATGCATAACCAAGCGTGGCTTGTGTTTACTCCATCATGGGAATAGGTGTGATTGACACACCTCGCTAGATAATTGTTAAAAATGCCAGAACATATGCACGTTGTTTAGACACAATAACGACATTAAATTTACGATAAACTGAGATCAAAATTCTGCAAACGGTCAAGAGTATGTAAGACGATTGCACTATGAATTCAAGAGCTGGGCAAGAAGGTCTTTGTTGATAGATGAACTATGTTGTAAGAATTCTTGCATCTTCACGGAAAATCTGCAGACGCACGTTTCTGCTCGTGATGTAAACATTTGTTTGGATAGCTAGCGATGTGAATTCAGTGCATCAAAAGCACAACTAAACGATCGAGAAAAAAATTCTAGTGTTTCGCGCCAAATGCATAGGTTTACTGTTCGTGTACGTTCACGTAACGATGTTCTGTTTCGATTTCGCAAACTATGATGAACGGGTCTTTAATATTTTTGTCGAATTATTAACGACGTTAGGTGTAATTTTTCTTTCTTTCTTCGTGGTAAAACGTTTTTTAATTAAAATTAATGCATCGTTTGTTTGAAAGGATGTATCGCTCAAAAATGGGGTACAAATACAAAAGGGGTATTAATAATTAAAATGCTAAAAATATTGTAGAATAAAGTTCCTGCCGTAAAGTGACATGATCTTCTTGATTACGATTACGAAATATGTCAGTACAATTGAAACATCGATTACATTTCAATTTTTATAAGAAGAACGGGAAAAGCAACATCCGTAATATTGTATGTTACCGGGAAATCGTAATAACAAATTGTGTCAAGGAGAAAAATTGCAAAGACAATGGAAACGTTCCACGTTAAGCGGTTATATTTATTTTATCCACGTATGTCTTTCTCGATGCATTTTAAACCACCAATTTAAAAGAATTTTATCCTTTATACATGGATATAAATTCTGTTCGGTTTCTCAGACCAATTTACTAATTATAATGAGTAAAGCACACAGGCTCTAATCAACTATTAAAAGAAAATACAAATTGTTGTTGGTAATTTCCACGTTTTGACACCGAAAATGGTCTAATTGTGGATCATTCTGTTGTAAATGTTGATTGTACTTTCCTATAAATGAGAATTTTTAATAAAATCATTTTTGTACAAAGTTTTATTGTTCGCATAATTGCATTTATGGTAATTAACATAATATTAAGATGAAATAATAACTTAAACATGATCAAATGTGTAGAATACTCTAAAATAATTAAAAAACAAAACATTCCGGTGTACCGTGTCATACAGTGTGAAAGAGCATGGGAAGCAATGAATCTGAACAATAAAGAAAATTTCATAAAAATATATTATACAAAGAGATAAATTTCGTTAAAAAAAGTGCGACGATAAACACATGTGCGAGACAAAATGGAAAACAATTAGAAAGATGGTAACGACAAATAAATCACACCAAATGATAAATAAACATAATAAAAGAAATAAATAACATGATAAATTATTCTTACAATAATGCAATACGGAATTGCATTTGTAAACTATAATTCTATCAAACTTTATTTCTCAAAACACCTAAATATTCTTCGAGTAAAAAACAAAACATGTATTGCACACACTTAATTAAAACGTCAAACATGAAATACATTTGATGCAAGAGCATAATTAAGTTTCAACGTCGATGCATTTATTTCTACGCAACCAGAGAATTAAATATACATTATATACAACAATTGTGTAAAAGTTACAAGAACCGGTTGTCTCCTTTTTTATACGACAACTACATATAATAATAAGCAGCATAAGTTTTTGGGTAGACCTTTGAAATATAAAATAAGCGAGACGATTATGATTTCCGTACGCTGCAATTTGACCGTGTTTTTATTTAATTTAATTTATCAGAAAAAGAATGGCTCAAACTGTAATTCACTGTCACGTATAGTTTAGAAGTTTAGAAGTTACCAAGTTTTGCTGTTTACAACATTGTTTATCTGAAAAATGATATTAAATAAAAACACAGTCAAATGTCACGAAATTCATTCATAGTAATAGTATTTCATTCGTTCAAATAGTAAGAGATTTGTGTATCTTATAATTTGTGTATCTTAGAGAATGTGAACAAGTTTCACAGTCAAAGGCCAAAAGCCCCAAAGGAAAATCGTTATGCCTCTTTCAAATAAATGTGACATTATCAAACTTTAAATAAGTATAACTTCTAAACTAAACTTGATAGAGAATTGTGGTTACAGCATTGTTTTTTTCATAGATTATATTAAACAAAAACACAGTCAAATCCTGGCACCACAGAAATCATAATCTCTCCAAATAAGCATAAAGGGAAGCACAAATGTTTAGAAAACACGATGTTTACATAACATTAGGCTAAAGCATAGACTTCTCTTTATAGTCTCACCTACAATATAACGATAAAGGACCCGCAAGGCTCACCATTACTTAATCAACGTATGACATAAATATCTACCTCTAAGGTTTTACATTTGGTTACATCAGTCATGGGCATGACGTGTATACACATGTATCTACGCAGTGCGTACATGTATGTACAGGTCAACGAGCATAATCTAATCAACTTATAGGCCAATCTATAGGCCTATCGACGCAGCTTCGCTGGTATGTACATTGTTAAATCGTTTAACATTTAACTTAAATGTTAGCCAGAAAATAGCGCGAACCGGTTTGGAACGCGCCGTCCTCACACACAGTAAGAAAAACGATACGAAATAAAAAGGTATGACTTACCCACTATTGCACTTAAATAACGACGCGATTCTTCTTTAAGTTAACATTTAAAATGACAGTCTATTCTGTGAAGGATTCTTACTGGGATCGTACATATTTTTCAGTCACCGTCAATTATTTCCGTTACACTGTCGCGCGTGCGATCTACCCGAAACTAATCGAAACTGTAATGGCGTCAATTGGTTTCACACTTCGAAACAATCGAAATGCCACTGGGTTACCATTGATATAGTTTTTTTTTTTTTTCTTTTTTTTTTTTTATGTAAAAAAGGGAACAAATCTTCTGATTATGCCAACAGAATCGATAGACTTAATTGTTCGAGAACGGTTTTGAAAAGCCTGCTCCTTTACTTTTTTGACCAATAATAGAAATCACTATAATCAAACTATTGCAGCATGTATCGAAGATACCTAAATTATTTAGGGTAGGATTCAGGCTCTTTTATGTATTCAAGCGGAACTCGTGGTTCGGTCGAAAAATGTAATATTCCTCGTGGAATTGATTCTCGTTTCTTTTGTTCGTCCTCCGAGAATAAATTGCGCTGTTAACGATTGTCCCTTTTTCATTGCTGTCTGACTGTTTTTTTCGTTCGTTTTAATGCCTACAATTTACGTACGTCACTGTTTCGCCGTTTACGATGCGAACATAACGAGTACAGGCTCGAATGAAAAGTGCAGGTACGCGCTGGTCTGTAAAACAAAAAGAGTACTATTGTAAATCACTGTTACAACAGACAATATTAAAAAAAGTAAAATAAATACACTCATCCTCAGATTTACACGAGACGATGGACTGTACAAATATGTGCACAACATAAATTCTTAATTTTACCAATTATTTTGCTTATAAATCTGTTATTTTGAAAACAGTGTAAAAAGAATAACGTGTAAAACGGGAGATAGTTGTACTTGCAACCATTTTTTATCCACATCGAGACCAAATGTACGTTAAAAAAAAATGAATTCACCGAGATTAAAATTTTATTTATATTTCCGAGCATTTGTTTTCCATTTAACTTCTTCTTGTCCACTGTATTATTGTCGGTGCAAATCAATTCTAAATAATTTATAACAATATTTGCTCTCAATATTTATTCTAGTAATGAATTACGTCAATATACAATACATAATATTGTTAGTGCAGACACGAAGAGTTTAAATGAAAATTCATTCTCGGTAGTTTCGTCTTACAACAAGTATATCAGAATGGAGAGACTCGAATCCTTTTATTAAATTTTCCATGAATCACTTCGCGGTTGGCAATAGTTTAAAAAAATGTTTAAAATATATTTAAAGAAAAAAAATACAATTCTTAGCATAGCAGTAAGGTCTCGGTGGGATTAAGCATCAAACTGATTCGAAGTGAAACTCAAAACATCTTGATAAAGCCAAGCAGCATTGCGAAATCTGTATGTAGCGACCAACTAACGCGACGATTCATGGTCGTGTTTCTGGTTTCTAGTTCTCAATCAAGTGTGTTATGGTACTCGTTGTTAAGTGTCACGCAAAAATGCACAGGCAAACAATTTCAATCGTCACACGGGAGTTAGTATTGTTAGAGCACACACTCACATGCCTTCTGATCCGTGTCTTGGTCCCCGCAGGATGGTTGTTGGATGTAAAGGGCCGGTTTCAGCGTCCGGTCATCTTGGTCCTCCACCTGAATCACAAGACCGTGATTATTGCCGTTTCCATGAGGATTTCGCGGGTTCAGTCGCCAGAGTCGGAGACCCTGTATGACGTCCAACGCCAGATGAGTTCCTTCTGGAGTGAGGGGTGTCACCACCGAGTCCAACAAGCGTTTTTTCGCTATAAATAAAGAAACCGAATCGGTCTTCAACAGATTCCTCGAATATTAGACGATCGTTGGCTACAAAACTTACATCGATGTTTTTTTAGGGATTTCGTGTAGTAATAGATCGATATCCGGATCTTCTTTTCGTCTTCTTCGTCCTCATCGAACGAAGATCCCGTCGTGGAGGTTAAATTCTCCTGCGGTAATCTGTAAATTCTCAACTTGGCAGCAACCACGTGGTCGCTGGAAGTTAGATTCAGCTGGAAGTGCATGTTCATGGAGAACGGATCTGCCCAGGTTTCTTGATCCGTGTTCCGCGGTATTTGACCTGATCGAAGGAATCAAACTTTTAACGCGATCGTGTCGAGCGAAATGTCTCCGGTGAGCGATGGACTAATTGAAAAACTTACAGCTGGGCGAGAACATGGTTAGCCTCTCGCGTTGAACCTGATTGGCATTACTGCTGTTGTTAAACCTTCCAGTCAGAGCCAAGACGCGCGTCTTAATGTCTTCGATGGCCTTTTCACCCTGGCTGCACAGACAAACGAGAGTTTATAAAGTCGAAGGAGTCGTATGCGGTGCACGAAAAATGAGAAAACAATGACAGTCGCCAAACTTTCGATACGAGTTATGAATACGACAAAAAAAAAGAAAATGAAAGCAAAGAATGATTTCGTGCTCGCGTATCTATTCAATGTTAACGGGAATCAAATGTGCAATTAAAAACATTTACTATAAATAGCAGAAGCAGTCGTAAATACGTTTTTATATCGTGACATAGAAATTTTCACCTCGAGATGCGTGCAAGTTCTTCCGGGTGGCGAGGCAGGCCATTGGACGATGGTCAGTGACCTATAGAGTCCACGGTATGGGTCAGAGATATTTATTATACGTTCTAGACATCGTCTAGACAGCCGACGTCGGGCATTGGTACACACCGATCATCTAATCTTTCCGTCTACTCGAGTACCATTAACGCTTTCGGATTGTATCTCGAATTCTGCATTTTCGTGCCGTACGATTCAGCCCTCTGTATCCATAATATCACCGTTACCTCTAGATAATCTTAAACCTGTTTCGGACGTCGGAAATTGAAAGCAACGAAAGCGTAGGGTTCATCGTGATCTCGCGTTTTGTATTTTTAATTACATCGGTGTGATTTCGCGCGGTTCGAACGCCAACCGACGGAATCCGAGATTCGAGAGTCAGTCGGTGATCGCGCGAGACCGTAAGATTGCATAATAAAAGGTGTAAGTCGTTAACCGAATAGACGAAAAAGGAGGAACGTCTTTTCTCTACGTCACTGGCAAGGATTGCTGCGCTGGACGCCCACTCGGAGATTTGAGCGCAGCCAATGGCGCGTCAACGACCTCGTTGCTGTTCGCGAAACAACCAGAAGTTCTTTTTTCTAAACAATGAAACGGACAGACAGTCAGAATGTCTAGGAGGATAGCTTTTCAGAGACGTACGTCTCTGTGACTCTATCGAACTTGTATTGTTTTTTCTTGTTGAGGAACCTGGACAGAAACGGCAGGGGGAGAGGAGACTGGGCATCACCGACGAAATCTCGCCACGAAATCTCAACTGCTTGTATTCGATTCTAGACATGCTCGTTAATCTAGCTGCGTCCAAGTCACGCATTCTACACCGTCTCGTTGCGTACGTGTCACGTCTGTCTGCCGTCTGGGAAAGGGAAGGACTCGGGTGTCTGGAGGCCGTTGCATCATGAGAATGAATCCAGTGATCCTTCCTGTGTACCATATTAAGAAAATTGGCTGCGTTACCATCGGTTTTGTAACAGGCTGTCGAAGGAACTTGCAGCGCTGGTTCGCGAGGAATTCGACAGGATGACTCGTTTGACGTTGTTAACAATAATGGGAAGTTCGAACGAAATTTGCTAAATGTAAGAGGAAAATTGGCAAATCGTTCTCGCGAAATTGGTCACTTTGGCGTGCCGAGTAATTTTGCAACGTTCCGCGTGCGAAAGGTGGGCGAGGAAACGACGATGAAAGATGGAATTTTGGGTGTTGATAAGGATCGAAAATACACGGGGTGGGAGTTGTAGCACGTGGAGGTCGAGAGCCAGTAAAAAGTTTCGCATACCGCGATCGGCGGTTACCGCGAAACGACGGAGAGGTCTGATTGGCGGCCGCCAAAAAATGCACGTTGCATCGTCTGGCGGTGAGGTGGGGAGTCACTGGCGAAAACTTCCTCCTCTCTCTTCGTCGTGCGCGTCACATCGTCTCCGTCGGCATAGGAAGAGAGACGCATAGACAAGGTCAGCGCATTAAATTGAAATGTGTTACATAACCTCGTAAGAGAGCAGTCCTAACTGCAGTCTGACTAGACACCCGGTGATTACGAGGGTGCTCAACTCGTGCCGGGGTTTAGCCGCGATCGAACGAGACTCGCTCGATCGTCGTTCGCCACGAGAAGCATCCGAGACCTTAGAACCACTTTTCCGTCCTCTTCCTGTAATCACGGGTCCCTCTGCATTCTTTAATGCAAGCTTAATAGACATCACGGTCGTTCAACGACACGTGTGTATTTTACCAAGTCGCACCATTGCTCGTCTAAGTCAAGTGACAAGGGGAGGCACGGCTGACTGGAAAAGTTGACGCGAATGAAAAACTGGTTCATTACCGTCCGTCTTGTCGTAGATCGTCTAGATCCTCGTGTATGCACGGTTGAGAAACTGACGGAACGACGAGCACACCGGAGGAGGACTCCGGCAGGCTACGCCAGTGCCGACACGAATGCATTTACGCGTCTAGACTTAATAAAATAAAAGAAACGCCTTCGCACCCGCGCGAAGAGGGGCCGAGGTGGAGGCGAAGGAGGGCGATTTAAAAACATAGCTAGGGACCACGGCGGAATTTCCACCGTGCGTCCTTCCTGGCTACGCTCTGTCCTCGTGCATGTCTTTCGAAAAGATTCTACGTCCTGTGTTCCTTTAAATCGCTTTCCTTTGTCGGTGAGAATTTCAAATATTACCGCGAATCATCTATTTCGGCGCGATCACCTATACGACTCATCGTAGCTGGATTACCCGTACGGTTGATTCCGTTAAGCGAACATCGATGGCAGTTTACCGAATCACGTTTTGCTAGTTCTCTTAATTAACCAGGGTATGTAACTTTCGAGTTTTCCCGGTTTGGAAAACGGTTCGCGCAGAAGGGTGTCTCTAAAAGATACGAGGTGTCGAAGCGAAGTTGCCTGCCTCCGGATGCTGACGCTGGTCAGCCGGCGGCGCGGAATTTCAACGGCGTTTCACGGTTCTTCGTTTCGTCACGATATTTTTACAGGCCATCGAGATATTTTTACGTAGCGGGGGCAACGATTCGTCGGGAACGTCCGCGTCGTCAAAGCGTTCGTGTGCACGGCCGCGTGTCGTGTATTACCACGGCTGGAAAACCGTTGGCATTTTTCTTGTCGCGGTAACCAAAGGGGAAAGTAAAAGAAGAAGGAAGACGAACGTTGTTACCTTTTCATGCAGACACAACACACCATGTAAGAGGAAAGGTTTCGGTGTTATCGCGATAAATCGCACCTCGTGCAACACGAGCAATGAGATAATCCGCGATGAGAATGTATTTTTAGATTATGCAAGCCAAGCCAGAAAGAAAGCAGCCGGCTGGCGGCGTGGCAAAACAAAAATTTGTCGAATTCGAATAAGTCTCTTTTACCGGCACACCGGGTCCCTTACCCAAAGCGATCATTGTGCCATCGGGGAGGCTTACCTGTCGAAGCTTGAGGTTAGGTTTCCTCTAAAAGACACAAAAAGCATATTTTGTAGAGACTTATATGGCGTACCGCTGTATTGCAAAGCGAGACACATGGTGAAAGACATTTGACGTGACAATGGTTTCATTGTGCATGAAGAAAAGTAGTGCCGACCGTGGCATTTGCATCATTTGTCGTCGAAGAATCGAAGATTACCTGAGTACTTCGATTTTCCGCGCGACACGAGTTTTTGCTAAAGTTCTGCCGAAACTTTGAACCCCAAAGTAAGTGCTTCAACGTAGAAGAAGTAGTAACTCTTCATCTACGTTGATCGATCGCGAACAATCCGTCGATTCGCTTCGCCAGATTGTCTACCAATCGATAAGACGAGTCAGAACTTTAAGCAGAGACTCGAAATATCGAGTAGTAAAAGTTCGGAAAAGCGAGTATACGTACTCTCGTCGATGAGCTCTGGCCACTTCCTGATAGGCGGACAAATTAGCCACGGGAAGATGACCCGTCGTCGCGTTGCCATTGGCCACGAAGAGCTTGACAGGGTCAGGTGTCTCGTTTTGGTACTCCAGCGTGTCGTTTTCATTCTCCTCCGTGTTCCAGGTCTGTCGGGTATTGTGTCTAAAGTCCTCGTAGTCAGACGTTTCGTTATCTTCCGAATTTTCATAGCTAAGGGAATCTACTAATCCAGGGATCACCCTGTAGACGTCGTCCTCGACCCACTCGAGCCCTTCGTACGGACTAATCTTTTTATTTTCATGAGACATTTCGTTAGTTTCCGGGACGGCAGTCTTCTCATTCGGACCGCTAACGTGAACGATAAGGTTCGGTTTTTCCTCGCCATTTGAGACTTGCTCGGGTATCGACTTTTCCGTTGTGCTGGCGGTAGTCGTTGTCGAAGACACTGCGACGTTGGGATGGATAACATTTCTGGGGTAGCTTGTCTGTACGTTATTCGTGCTGCCTAGCCGAGACACCACAGGTAGTGGCACAGAAGCAGGAAAAGCAGTGGATAACGTTGGCGGTGGTACAACATGAAAGGAGTTACCAGCATTTTTCGTTGTCGTCTGCTTCAAGGTCGTAGAAGCTCGGTATTTAGGTGTTTTGGAGCGATTTTTGCTGGTCTCGTCGGAACCGGAGCTGGAATCGAACTCGGAATCATCGTAGCGAATCTTGAAGATCACGTGAGGTGCCATCGCCTTCTCGAACTCCCGATGAATATCGTCCTCTTCGCTCGACGCTTTAATGTTTTCGTCCAAATTCAGAACCGTCGGTTCAGACCACGGCTGTTGGAACTCCAGATTCGAGGGCAAGTTCTCGTAATCGAGAACCGCCTGCCGATTGTACGCATCGAAGTCGAAATCATTGTAGGATGACTTGTCCGCGTGGCGATTCATTTTACCTTCGTTCCTCGTGTTCTCGTAATCGGGATTCCTCGTAACCGCGGAGGTATGATCTACAAAATTCGGATCCCAGTATCTACCTTTCTTTCCGCCAGTTTGTCCATACAGCGCTTTGGTCCAAGATTTCATGCTTTCCTTCTTCTTCGACAGCTCTTCCTCCTTCTTCTTGTTCAGTTCTCTTTCGCGAATTGCTAGAACCTCCTCCAGACTGTAGTTGAGGCTCTTCAACAACAGCATGTCACCCGTGCTAAGCTCGCCGGTGATTATCTTCAGGATAGCTTTCTCCAGCATTTTTTCCAACCTTCTGTCGCTGTAAGGAATTTTCTCCTTGACTTCGTTGATGTTCAAGCTCCGTCTGTTCTTGTCTTCAACCGAGGAAACCGCGTTCGCTTCCTCCCTGGACCCGTATCTTCTAACAAGTTCCACTTGGTCCCTCTTCTTCTTGCTGTCCGGGTGGACACCGTGATGGTGATGATGGCACCAAACACTGTTTATAGCCGAGGTTGCCAAGAGCAGCACGAATAACCTGGCGAGTCCCATTGTGACTCGTTAACCGAGAGTTCTTGTTACAGACTCGATTCAATTCCGTTTACGAGAACCGCACTACCGAGGTAGCTCGAGATTCGTGGGTCCGTCGTATTCTTCGGCGATAACAAACGGGGTACCACTTGCTCGCTAAGCGATAGGCACTGTTATCGATAAACCGTGTTCCCCATTATTATTTTCATCGAGGGATCACCCGTGGTAATAATCGGATTTCACTGTAAACAGTTGACGATCGAAACTCTAATTAAGAATGAACAACTCGACGAGAGTTGATCGGAGTGTCCAGCTGATCGCACGAAAACCGCGTGCTCGTATCCTCCAGCGGTCGAGCCAGAACGGGACTGGCAACGTTCACGGAAAACAGGGATGTCCCCGATGCACGAACAAGTGTTAACAAGCTGGACCGTAATCCGGCGACGATCGCGAACTAGTCTAATCGCATCGGGAAGGCGCGATATATGTAAGTAGGAAAGATTCGTGGCACGCGTGTGCACCGGCTGAGCAGTAAGTCTCAACTGAGCCGAGCTGGCCTGCTCACAGACATAATTCTGTCTACTCACTAATTCCGAGACAACCACGAAGCCGCGAGAGGAGACGCGCCGGTGTTACTACGATCACTCCTTTTTTTTCCCCGTCCTTCTCCTTCTTCTCCTTTCTCTTACTCTCGGTGTGTCCGTTCCGCTCGCTCCACCCGCCGCGCGTGTAATCCCTTTCCCTCGCTCGCCGAAATCCCGCGGACGACTGCCTTTTCTCTCTCTCGCTCTCTCTCTTTCTCTCGCTCGCTCTCTCGCTCTCTCTCGCTCTCTCGCTCTCTCGCTCTCTCGCTCGCTCGCTCTCTCTCTCCGCGACGCTTTATCGTTCACCAACTTCTTCGTCTGGTCGCTTTTTCGCGCCGCAATATCGTAGGTCGATCTGCCGCCGGTTCTCGAACACCGCAGCCGCCACCGCCGCGTGCTTCTTCGCCTTCGCAGCTTCGCTCGTGCTTCCGGCGAATCCAGCACCGCTTCGTCTCCCTTCCACCCGATTCGTCTCTGCGCAGACCTGGCGATTCCTTTCGATTACTCACCGACACGGAATTTACTTATCGTGATTTACTTTTGTTGTTTCTCTCCCGTCGCTCTACCCTGGCCCCTTTCTCGGCGACAACGCGCTCCGGGATCCCGCGCTTAGGAAGCCGAGAGAGACCGACCGGCGCTCCTTAGCGATGCCTAGCCTTCTAGATATCTATCTGCCGCGTGACAGACTGCATACTGATCCTTATCGGTGATCCTTTCACAAATGAGAAGACTTAAATGTCCTTTCACCGTCCACCGGCTACAATAGACTACCAGCGCGTTAGGTTCGCGTGGTGCGCGACTCACGAGCGTGCCACGGTTTTCGCGAGCGTGTTCGCGCGCCGCGACATCCTCGGAGGCGGACTGTTTCCTGCGGGATATCTGCTTTCGTCCGGAGGAAAGCGAGAATCGTCTTTTCACCGCGGATCAGCTCGAGAAACACACCGTGCCGGGGCTGACCGGGATATTACGGCTCGGGGCTCGCGGGTACCGCGCTGAACAAAGGAGGAAACAAAAACTGAGGCGCGACCGAGGCGCGAGAAATGAGCGAGGAGGCACCTTGTATTCGGCTACTCGTTTCAGGGGCAGCCACGTACGGCTTTATAGGGTGTCTCCCTCTTCGCCGTCTAGACGAATCGAAAGATATGATCTTTGAATCATAATGTATCGCTTTTAATAAATGCAGCCTCCGCGTGCGTGCGTGAAAATACGATGCGTGGCAACGCACGTCGACAACGGGGGCCCAAAAAGAAGAACGGGAACGAGAAAAGGGGGGCAAAGGAGAGGGATATATGGTACAGTCAGAGAGAGGGAGGGCAATGCAGCCGGTGAAAAATATGCGTGACCGAGATCAAATCGGAAAATTTTGCGACTGTATGTCTTGTGGATTTATTTTTTTTTTCGTTCGTCTTTCATTTATTTTTCGTTTCGATAAGACCGTTTCTGTCCGTCCAGTTCGAGAAGACGACGGCGATCGAACGTGATCCACATTAATTTCCCGCCAACGAAGGAGAAAAGTACGGAGAACGGAAGGATGGTGCGTACAGACGCGGAGCCACAGATTCGGGTCGCATTCGACGTAAATTATGGCGACCCGCATCGAATCTGGAAATGGGTTAAAGGATTCGATTCTCCGAATCTGTTTACATTGCCCGTCTAACGGTGGACGGACATTGACCATATTCGAGTATGTCCTCGAAAACAAATCGTTTCTGATAAGCTATAATGTGTCTGTTTTGAATTCACCGGAAGCATGCTACGTCTCGATGAAAACAACGTACGCTTTTGTATCGAACTTGAAGGGATATTAATTTTCCTCTCTGTTTTGCTCATCTTCTTCCAAGACTTTAGACTTAATTAATATTTCGATGTAGAAATACAATACTATCACCCAACAATCACCGTGTGATAGAGTTTTGAATCTGTTGCTTTTTCTTTGAAATGTCTTAGATTTCTTTTTTATATCATTTTTTATTTCGTTTATTTCTTTTCTACAGCTGTTTCGCAATCAACTTCAAAAGAAAGTATATAATTCTGTATTCATAAATGCATTTCCATTGCCATAGTTCTAACAGGGACTAATTGGTAACTTTCGAGTCTCGCTGGAATCGAAAATTAGCTAAAAGTATCATTAACTGAATTTCTCTGAACGAAAAGTTATAAATAGTGGGGATTACATAGACACTATTTCCACCGACAGGTTCGTATAAATTGAGTTTTACTTGACACGGATGTTAAATCGGACTACTCGATGAACATGCTCGTGGTTTTTATAACAATTGCATCAACTATTTCTTTACGATGTAGTTAACAAACTGATAGACAGAATTACATCTCCAATAAGAGCTAATTTGCGATTTCGATTCATAAAGGCACGATCTTCACGAATAAACGAATGTGGCGGGGCCACGTTGAGACGGTTACGCGTGATGGCGAATGATAAGGAGAACGAATTGGTTGTAACTGATTTATCGTAACTATTACGATCGTAGACTAAACTATTAAGTGTAAATGCTGTGAGACGACGGAAGCGTACGGTTCAGACGTGGTATACAGCTAACGCTTTCTTCGCGTTTTGCGGTAAGTTTCCTCCTTAATACAATAATTCAAAGATTGATGCAATAAATATAAACGGTACCGAGCCATAGATGGCGCCACTATAGCCAATTCAAACATTCACGTTTCATTTTCTTTGACGGCCAACTTTATTCACACAGTCGAATTTTCGTTATCGCTAAATTTTCATTCTCGACCCGTCAAAATAAGTATAACTTCAAAATTCGATGAGTGTACTAGAGGTGCCAATTACCGCGTCATCTCCCGTAATAGTTTTAAAACGCTGTACGCCCGTACGCCGTGGGTCAGGGTCACAGTGGGGCGGAAACCGTGCCACGGTAAACAAATCGATGAGGAACGAGAGAGACCCACTTGATTCCACCCCCGAGTCCGTTGCAAGTCGCGTTGACCGAAGGCATTTAGATAACGCGCGTGCATCGCGGTACACTGACACCGTGGGGATCGGTGTGCGACGGAACGACACACGACGTTCCCGCGCGTTCTCAGCGCGGGCCTCGTCCGAGCGCACGCCTGCGCTACGCAGACACGTGCACGCATTTAAATATATATAAAACAAAAAAAAAAAAGAACAAAAGAATCTGAGGCGGACAGCGAGTCGGCGGAAGAGCGAGAGAACGAGACGACCAGGAGCGTTCCCAGGGTACTCGTCGCAACGTGTGTCGCACCAAATTTTCCACCCTTGACCGCCAAAAATTCTTTCTGTTTTTTCTTTAGCAAATTAGGCTTCCGTGGTTGTTCCTGATTGCGTAAATATTTATTCCACGTACTACCACACGAAAAATAACATCTTTCATGGTTTTCGCCAGACTTGGAAACAAATTTTATTTGAACTAAACATAAAGAATAACTTTATATCTTTATTCTACTTAAATTATTGCCACATCGCTGTTTTATTTTTTTTTTTTTTTTTATTTATATTTTACTTTATATTACGTTACAATGAATGAATTTAATGAAATGCGTTTCAAAGTTATTCACATTTTATTCCTTTCCGATTTACATGGTTTTCCATACGAAAAGTATCGGGAACCAATCGTCCGTGTTAGCCAGTAGATGTTCATTAGAAAGGCAACGTTTTATCGAATATAAAGAAACGCTGCTGTTTCAAAAGCTTGCAAACAATCAAGAAGAGATCACTGTCCGTGGTGCAACCCTCTTAGTCCATCGTCATCCACGCGCCGTGAACCCCGTTGCATCCCTAACGCGGCTCGCGCATGGCGAGGACGCTATCCGATCCAGCGAGTGAGAGGCAAATCGGGTCCGAATCTGGACGATGCAACGTAGCCTGTCTGACGTCACCTCCGAATTCTCCATCGCGATTCGGACGTACGGACAGACAATCTGGCGTCTAGACGTACCAAAATAAATAACCCGCGGGGCCTTGCCTCGCCATCAAACTGTTGTTTGCACTCGTAACACTCATCCGTCGTCCTTGTCGGGGTCCCCCCGTTGCTTAGTCGGGGATGAGGAATAGAGCGGAACTGCCTCGGAAGACCCGTGGAGAAAGGAGGCGGCGCGTTGTATCAATCTAGAGCGGCCGATTAATCTGCTTTTGTGACCGATCTTTCGTCGACAAGAGTGGCCGGTGCGTCCTTTGGTACACGCTGCAAACTTTAGCTTCGATACTCGTTAGACTTGTCAATCGTCCTTTTTCGTTAAGAGCACAATCCTTTTTTCACTTCTTTCTAAACCTAATTCATAAAATTGAAATGCGGCTAAAACTTTATTTCCACGGAGTTGGACATTATACGGATTTTCGTTGTTCAGAC